TAGTTCAAACCAACTTTGACAGCTTCTTTTTCATACATGATAATCCACTGATTTGCACATTTGCCTGAGATAAAAATTCATAAATCCATTGCAATGAACTTAATGTTTTCTTCATTGATAGATGCATGAGATTTGAGAAAATTCTTAAAACATGACAGGAATATGCTAATACTAGCATACTTAGCAGATATATTCTCTGTTTGAAATTGTTTCAATTTATCATTACAAGGCAAAGAAATTTCATTGTTTCATGTTTAAGATAAAGTGAACGCTGCCATCGCAAAACTAAATTTATGACAAAAGAGATTTTGTAATCAAGAAGTAGACTCATTTCCCTCTCTTCATGAGTTTACAACAAGTTCGTCTACTAAAACTGATGCTGATACTCTGAAATGCATAACACAGCATTTGGAGAGTTTGCAAGTGGGCTTGCAAAACTATTTCCCTGATTTAAACAAAAATATTGAATGGATAAAATATCTGTTTAACATTAACACACAATCCATGCCAGAAGATTTGTCCCATGTGGAAGAAGAGCAATTATTGGAATTGGCTTCAGACGGATTCTTGAAAAATATACATAAGGAATGTACTTTAACATCATTCTGGTTACAAATGCAAAATGTGTATCCAGTTTTAATTGAAAAAGTTCTGAAACACATCTTGCCTTTTCCAATAATTTCATATTTATGTGAAGTTGCTTTTTCAATATTTGTACATATTAAGTTGAAAAAAAGGAACAGACTATTGAACGTGGAACTGCATCTCAGATTAAAATTAACAACCAGGAAACCAAATTATGACGATCTGTCATCTCTGCACAAACAATTTTATCTTTTCATTAATTCAAATAAATGTTATTTATAATATAGTGTTTATTTACATTTTATTATGAATAATTTTATTTCTCTTTTCGTATTATTTTGCGTATGTCACAAAAAAAAAAAAAAAAAAAAAAATTGTATTTAAACTAAATTGTAAAGTAAAATAAATTGTAAATAAATAAATTTTAAAATAAATATTTTGATTGTTATTAAAATGCATCCATTTTTTATGAGGGGTAATCAGCATTATGAAAATTATAGAAGGGGTCCACATATGTCAAAAGTTTGAGAAATATTGACATAGAGTATTGGTTGAGTATGAATATTAGAGCAAACATCTAGCATTAGCTAAAGCAATACTGTACTTCAGTATTCATTCTTTTTAAGATCATTCACTGTGTGTTTTGAATTAGTGCAGACATATCAAATTTATGTTCGAGAAGAGATGAACATGGCAATGAGACACTTTCTTACCATGTACTAATACAACTTGTTTAAAAAATATTTCAAACAATTTTGCGGTTGATCTTTACATTATGGTAACTTGGCGTTTTTTTGGCGACCAACTCTCCTACAGCAACCCTCTATTTTTTTTTCCTGCCACCATTTTGTCTTCACGAAGTAAAGACATGTTTCTTTTCTTTTTATCTACTGAACACTCCTTCCAACAATCTACTAGCCGAATTACACTTATGCTAGAAATTTATCTAACAAACTGCTTAATCATGACAAATTCACTGCAAATTGGGGAAAAAGTGCACAATACCTACTCCTTATGCGTTTTCAAAGTAACACATACCATAAACCATGTACACACCGACTTATTTTTACTTAAAAAACATCCCAGACTTGCACAAAAATGGCATTGCGCACACTCTTCACCATATCCATGTACACTGCTTTTTTCTCATAAATTAGAAAAATTTCACGAAAATACATGACAATTTTCTCAATCTTTAAACCCGGTATGAGGGTTTAAAAAGAAAGAGAACAGCTCCATACAAAACTCTTTGCAAATGAAGAAATGTGGATCAAAATTCTGCCATTTATTGTCCAAATGAAACAACAATACACAGCATAAAGTGAGATGAAACAAACATGACACTAGGTTGATCCCCAAATTCCCATAATATGGAAAATGCATATATATTAATCACAATTTTACACGATTGCAAATATCCTTTAAAGTGCAGAACATACCTCAACGGCACTTAATCGATTATAATTATGAACATTACATATAAAGAAAAATTATCCCATCAGCATTTGCTAGTACTATTTTGGCTGCAAACTGTTGATTAAATTAGTATTTAAAAATTTTTAGGAAGTTTCTGATAAGTAATTTGCTACTGTACAACAAAGACTATTTACCTATGTACCTTCATGTACTTATATTCATATAAGTACCTTCATGTACTTATATGAATACTGCACATAAGGCAGACAAAAACCTTTTTATAAGGAAGAATTCATACAAATTTATTGCTATTCAAATCCATGTTAATTAACAAAAAAAAAAAAAAAAATGCTAGTTTAGATTACAATAAGTAGCATTTACAGTAGAAGTGAAGATAATGGATACAAATTTTACAGATATATCTCAAAATTCTACATAAAGAGAATTTCACAAATTTTATAATTTCGCATAGAATACTTATGTTGAGCTGCCCAACTGGAACAGGGGTTAACCCCAGTCATAACCACACCAAAGGACCCGGGTTCGAATCCTGGAGAAGACATGAATGTTTGTAAATGAACAATGTCTTTGCGGCATGGAGGCACTCAAAATATGAGACGGAAGTCCTATCGAGAGGCGAGAGGTTGGTGGTAAGGGAAAAGGTAAAGAGAGACCCTCAAGATCTGTCCCCTTTCTAGGGTGCTCTCCTTCAAAATTGGGGGTAGAATTGCACAAAGTCGTATTGTCTCTTGCCAATGATACGCACAATCTTGACACCTTGCCACGATGAATTTCGTGGGCTTGTTCTGATTTCAAACAAGCGACATTAGTCACAATAACAGCAACCTGAAAATGTTTAATAGAGTATTATTACCAGTGGCTCTTTTTGAAATAAGAAATATTTATACTATACTTTTAATTCAACATTTGTAATTTGAAAACTATCTGATGAAAACTGACATCTGTTATGTCAATTTAGAAGTCAAAATACAAAATTCAGCGTTACATTTGCAAACTTTCCACGACTAGTTTCGATGGTTTCAACCACTACCTCAACTGCTTCACCACTACCACTACCTCAACACTTCAAATGGTTCGAACCACTACCTCAACTGCCAAAGTGCAAATGAAAGAGAGAGGTGCAAATCGGATAGAGTGCAGAATTGCCCACTTATTTGTTTGGCACTTTTTATAAGAGTAAGAAGAATTGGATTTTCGTCAATTTTCTTTGACTATTTAAGTGAAAATAGGTCGATGTGTACATAGATAAAGTGAAGGGAGTGCACAATGCCATTTTTATGCAATTCTGAGATTTTAAGTGAAATAGTCGTGTGTCATGGATAAAGTCAAGGGAATGCACAATGCCATTTTTGTGCAATTCTGGAATTTTTTTTAAGTGAAAATAGGTTGATGTGTACATGGATACCGAGTATGTGCATTTCTTATAAACGTGCGAAGCAGTGGCCGATTCTGCACTTTCCCCAATCTTTCTTTCTTACTCTCTCAAAGAGCAAATCTCTCATTCATTTGTACTTTGGCAGCTGAGGAACATGTTTCAGTAAAAGCCATCGAAACTAATCCTGGAAAATTTGCAGATATAATGCTGATTTTTGTTGTTTGACTTCTAAATGAATCTTTGTTCGGCATGTTAGTTTAACCTAAAAAAAATCTATGATATTCTTTTAAGTCTACTGGGAGAGAGAAGAAGCAAGGGAAAAATTTTTCACTTATTGTGTTTTTATGTACATCTCTATGAACAAATAGGCAACACTTCATATTTCAATTATAAAAACACAATCTGTTCAATGGCTACTATACTGCGATTTAAAAGTACCCACTAATATGCGGTAATATAAAATATAATAATGAAAATGCAAGCAATACCACCAATAAGAATACATATAAAAATTATAGGTTAAATTAATGAAACATGTTTGTTAAATGTAAAATAACACATTACACATGCAGGATGTTTACTTTATAGTACTTGAATAAACTTTCAGATAAAAAAATAATAGCTAAAAATTTAATCAAGTAACAATTCACTACCACAAATAATCAACATGACCAAAAAACTTATAATTTAAGAATAGTAACATGAAATTTTTCACTGCTTTAAATATATTACACGTTTTGATGATTCACTATGAAAGTATTGTTTAGTACGTCTTAATTTCATTTTTATGTATTACAGAATCCATAACTAGAAATGCATATTTAAAAAAATAACAATGAAAGAAAATATAAATAAATTAAAATAAATATGAGAAATAAATTTGAAATTGAAAGAAATGAAATGAAAAGAGGTAATAAATTAAAAATAAGCTGATACAAAATGAAATGTAAAATTTAGCATTTGTATTTTAACCAGGCATATGGAAGGATCAGTGTTGTACATTTATAAATATTAAATTAGCATCAGTTTTCAGTGTAGAATACATTATTAAATAACAAGACAATTAATATCATGCCCCTTGATTTAAAATTCAGCGCTACACAATCAGCCCCTTTAAAATAAGTTCACCTGATAAATGAGCGAATACAAAACAGGGTACCCTTGTAAAAAGATGGATGTATGGTTTCGGGTAAAAGTCGCTATCGCGAGATGCTTTCAAATCAGTTCCTGGATTTAAAAAGTAATAATTATGCTCTGTATCTAAAAATGAGGAACACAACAAAAAAGTTCTGGTGAGCTGGGTAAAAAACACTACTTCGTAAATTTGCCGCTGTACCGAAGATAACTGAAAGAGCGCACTTCAGAACTACAGATAGGTCACAATTCCGGGTTTCTTAATGATTTCCGTAAAAAACGAAAAAGTACAAAAGTCAGGTTCCGGCTAAAAGTAAGCACTGATAATATACGAATAATTAAATTTTTAATATCAGAATACGTGACTATTTGACGATTAGAAGAGTCATTTCCAGTAATCGCGAAACATATTTTGGGACCAGATTATACTTAAAAAGTTATAATACATTAAAAAAAAAAACACGCTTACCGTTAGATATCTTTCTCTCGACCGGAAGACTAGAGCCAGTATGAAATGATACTGATTTCGGTCGTTGGGATTGGTTTTGCAGCATTCCATCATCTCTACTTCCAGAACAGGACCAGTCCAAACTTTCTAAATTTTCACTGCTGTCCTCTTCTGATAAACTATTTTTGTCATCTTTCACATTTAAGCTCTTTGTTAATTGGTGAGAAATTGGTGGGAGATTTGGCAAATCCTTTCGCACAGGTTTTATTCCTACGGGAGCAGAACTGGAATATTTTCGATCACAATCACTCGCACTCTCCTTTTTATCATTTGAAACTGATATAGGAGAAGTGCCTTCACAAACATTCGCACAATTACCATTTTTCCTAACTTCCCCTGAAAGTGCAGATTTATTCGTAGAATTACTGATGATCTCCTCAGAACTCATTTATACTATTTCGGACTATAGAACATGGTCACTGGCATTTGAAATAATGCAAGATATATGTTTAATACAGATAATAAACCGGATAAATTAACAGTTAAGAAATAAGTTCAAAATATTGCACATGTAACTGATATGAACATATCTTATTATAAAGAGAAATAGAACGTGTTTATTTCTTTAATCATATGTTAGGTTGAAGAAACATAACTTTGCAAAACACAGATAAACTTTCACACAAATTAAAACACTTTCAGATCGTAAAGTAGATATATTTCACGTAACTCTCACATTTACTTCATAAAACACAGCGCACATTACATAATTTACGCGACTGCAAGACACCGCACGAACACAACCGTCAACTCCTGTGATAAACAAATCTCAGATTGAAATTATCAAGATCTGCCGCCAGAGGCCGCAACTGAGATGAAAGCTGTTGCCCTTCTCTTTGAACTTTTAAAGAAATAGCTACTAAATACTGATAATAGTTGAAGTTTGCGTAGGTAATGAACAAAAAGCTACCTCTAGAGTTAAATTTTAATACTTTATTTGATTGAATTGATACAAATGAGAGAAAGATAATAGTTTTAATAAAAATTTAACTAGATGTAAAGTTTAAATTTAACTAGATTTTTAATTCAGAATCCTGATATATAGCGTTTTTTGAAATTTTTTCACATTTACCGGGGCATATATTTTTATTTCCTTCATGCTGAAATGAGAAAACTTGAAAACAATGAAACATGTTGAATTTCCAACTATACAATGAAGCAGGTTATGTAAGTAAGAGTAGTGCATCACCGGAGTCTTCAGGTTCGAGACCCAACATCTATCAAGAAATAGTTCTCACGAACATATCAGCCGTAATTGCTCATAATGTATTAATGACGCATAGTTGTTCTAACGTAGAATCAAGACCTAATAAAAAATGTTAAAGTCTGCCGAGCCATGTGAGGCATACAAAACTTGAAAAACGGATAGTCTTCGAAAGTTTTGATTGACTGATATATATTAAACAGATAAAAATAGTGTTTTATTGAAATTATCATGAAGATTACATAGATTTTTCATTTATTCTTCTAGAATGTGTCAACTGTATTCTTTCCTCTGAGCTATGCTGCACGTTTTTAATCAATTATGGGAACACTGATCCAAATTTTAACTGATTTCCATGTAACAGCTTATCAGTAGAGTTCATGACCGCACCATTTATCCCGTCTGCAGTTTCAACATTTTTATATCTTCCCTTTCTTTATTACTAACTTCTCCTCTTGAACCATGGCATAAAGAAAACCTTATCTGTTTTGCCTGACTCCAGCCATTCATCGTTGTTTCTCCCAATTATGTTTTAAAGCACCAGAATTGCTCTCTACTCAGCACAATTTACATTTTTCTGCAAAACGATATTCTTTTACGATATCAGAAAATCTTTTTTCCTTCCACATACGAATTAAATTTAAGCATTTAAAACCTAACCCTAAACAACGGAATTCAAACATCCAAGGATAAATGCTGCAATACGACTATTTCGAAGAAATTTCCCAACCAACAGATTTAATGAATATTTGAAGAAGTTCCATAATACGGCTACAATACATGCTGCCTTTTAAGTGCAAGCATAAGGTATGATTAGGCTAACAAAAAATATCAACAAAACGTTAATATTAAATATTAGCAGGTATCAGTTTAAAATTCAAGGTTTGGTTTCCTAAAACTTCTGCAGCTCACTGTGCGACCTTAATCTACATAAATTCTTGATAGTCCAAATACAGTTCCTCGATTTACTTCTCAAAGAATTTCTAAGTTTTGTGCCCTTAATGCAGAAAGTTGCGTACATGTTTTTTTTTTTTTTTTTTTAATTCTGTTTTAGTTCGGGCACTATCCCATTCCTTTTAGGAAAACACTAAGATTTCATATTATAGGTGATTTTTCTAAAAGAATTACTGTATAACAGTTTTAATAGATGAGATTATCGCCATTATAGAAGCCCATCTATTACTAAGCGGTAAAGTAGCTAAATACTGGTAGTTGGCCATCAAATCTCGGCGAACAGAAAGGCTGCATGAGAAAATTTGAGGTGTAACATGAATATATGAGCCAATTTCTCTTAAAAGGTCTACCACGAAAGCAGCATTCTTCTGAGGCAGATAATTATCAAGTTCTTTATAATATTTTAATAACACAATCCGTCCATCGCCATAACACTTAATGCATTTGGTCTTTTACGGTAATATCATATTCCGTTCATATGATGCATGCGAATCTCCATCTTAAATAGCAAGGATATTCTTTATTCCAAGGAATGCATTCTATGCTGCCATGTTAGATACGGTGCTAGCAAAGTTGTCATATCATTGGACCTAGGTTCGAATCGCGGGTTATGTATAGATGTTTTTAGATTTTCTATCTTCTTTTCTGCCCAGCTGGTATCAATATTGCCAGATAATTTTGAATTAAGTAGGAAGAAAAGAAACAAAATGTCGCCAAAAGTAGCTCGTGACTCAGAGATCACGTCATAGGTTCATAATCTCACATGATCTCTGTCGATACCTTAAATTCAGTCTCTGAGTCTTCCGCAAGTTACAGATTTTAATTCGATTCTTAGCGTTATATTACGCTTATTAGGTACGATGAAAATCTTAAAACCAGATGGCTAGTTTTCTATTATTTTAATCCATATTTCTTCATTTAATTAATTCTTAGCTGAGGATGTTATTTTCTGGTCAATTTATTTATTTCTCTTGTTAGATTCTTTCTCAAGTCTGGATATTTAGCATTATAGCAGTAATTTTTTAAGATGGTATTCTATTTTTTTTTATTTATTGCTTCTTACTTTACTTTAATTGTTAATGTTTGTTAGTTAATATTTCGATCTGCTAGCTGAATTTACTTCACTTCATCAGATATTTTTTGCTAATAAGAACCTACATTTTTTTTCACTGTTAAATTTGTTTGTTTCGTTATTTAGAAATCAGATGCTACATTGATTTTGTCTTAGGTCGGAAACAGGGCCGCCGCGTGGGGGTGGCAAAATTGTTCAGCGCACAAGGGCGCCTGGGTCAGTGGGGCGCCAAAATTTATTCTTACCGCAACAAATAAAACACAATTCTGGATTTTTCCTCTTAAATATGCGTACAATATCACAATATCATGGAATATTACGCAGTAGTTACATTTTAAACGACTAAAGCATCAAATGAAATGCAATCCAAAGCTCAGAGAAAGCTAACCCGATCTCACTTCAAATTCGCTACAGTCAACAAACCACTTATGTAAACAACTAAACTGAGATATTTCTCTCCGGCGTTTTAAAACATTTTAATCGTGAGCAAGAAGGTTCTGGTAATTTCCGTTTTCTCGAGATTTCTGTAAATCAAAAGATTAGAATTACGGTCACAGCTAACACAGTAGTCAATTACATTTATTCAGTTTAAATATACTCGTAAATTGCCAGATATCTATCATTAATTGCTCGTGCTCCAGTATTTTTACTTTTCCGGCGTGGTTTCTCTTAAAACTCGTCACGCGCTGCATTACACGGGAAAATAAAACGATTTTAATTACAATTCTACTAAAAATTGCTAATAAATACAAAATCGGACAATATATTCGTTATTCTCTCCAGATTAGGTGTCATATTATTGCGTTGTCTTATTCTCTGTATTTAGCTTATTATTGCTGAGGTATTTCCTTACTTCTGCAAGCCTCATGACCGATCGGTGGAAAAAAGTGATGTTTTGCATTTCTTTTCTTAAATAACAATACCAACATAAACTAGAATGGCTATAAAAAGTAAAAGTGTTGTGGCAGGAGGATGCGTCCAAGAGAAGGCGATAAACTTCGAGCTCAAGCAAAGGAAAAACCCTTAACTAATTTCTGATGCAAAATTACAATCTAAATCCTTTCAGACTTTTTTTTTCCTTTTTTTAAAGACGTTGTTTTTGAGTACTGTGTTTTTACATAGCAAATAAACTTGTCTACAATTAATTACGTTAAAAAAGTTAAAATATTACTGTCGTTTATTATATAGCACATTGATCTCCTTTCCTGAATTTAATTGCAGTCGCGATAACCGTCAAAGGACTAAACTGCGAGCGTGTTTCGATAAATTTTCTGTAGCTGCTTTTATATAATTTTATATAATTTATTATTAATAATAAAGCTAAGAAGGAAAAAAAGTAATGAATTAGTAGGACTGAGTGTAACAGCAGGCTGGTAAACCGCGAGCTCAGCGAGAAAGTAAAAAACCTTAACAAAACGTTTTGAGCGACCGTTAAAATCTGAAACCTTTCAGATTTTTCTTTCCTTTATTATTCTTTGTGCATATGCGGAATAAAAGTTCTTGAAATTAGCCGGTAGGGAGATTTTCTCGAGAAGCTGACAGCATGAAAAGAAACATATGAAGCCTTCGGGTACTATCGCCTGGAAAATCTAGATTTTTAAGTTGTGGTGCCTCTGGGCTATGAAATTCTGTTGCTAACAATGGAGGCATAAAGTGTAAGATAACGACAGATGCACAGATTATTCAAACCCATGCTAACGTGTTATGAAACATCCCGTAAACAATACCTGATTTATTTAAGATAGAAAATTATATATATTAATATGTAGATTTTTTTACTCCTGGTGAAGAGGAATCTGTGCCTGTTTGCCCTCGAAATCGATTGAGATCTTGATTAAATGCACGCCAGATATAACGATGTTGCTTTGTTTTTTTTTGTTTCCCTTTGGCGTGTTTCTGTTCTGTTTTGATATTAATACGCATTGTCAAAAGTTGTCATATGGTAATAAGAATAGGTGCATTTACTTGAAAAATAAAGTTTTAAGGTTTCAACAAGATCAGTTTGTTAGTTAATAAGTCTTAAAAATATTTATTGAACTTAGATGCATGAGATATAAACGACCCAAAACTCATCTCATATTAGTTAGCTGTATTATTATTAAAGATTATGAAACTCGCTTATGTCAAGTAAGTAATAAATTTTAAATGATGCACTAATGAATTAGTACCTTATTTATTTAATTAATGCATGCCATAAGCCTTGTAATAGCTATTTTCTGGATTAAAAGGATTTGAAAGGGAAGGAATAAATATTTACGAGAAAATCCTCTGGAAAATTAATTAAGATACGTATAATGCATGAAGAATAACGAAACCAAGAAACTTAGTAATAAAAATTAATCCTTATTTGTTTGAGAAAATATATTTCTGAGTTAATATTTATAACTTCAAACAAAACCAGAAAACGCTTTTTGAAATATACGGTTTTGTCGATCGTTTCCCAGTCATTCCGGCACAAACATGGAACAGGCGTGGAGAGAAGAAAATATAAATCTGGAAGCAGCAAAAAATCTTAAAGTA